TTTGGGAGCACATCTAAAACCCATTTTGATGCTGGAGAAGGTGTCGCGGCAAAATGATGATGGGTGATGCCTCTCCCAGTGCATTCAATACGAAGTCGGCAGTGTGGATTTTGCTGCTGAAACCTGCACAAAACGCCATCAGGCTTGTTCTGAACTTCAGATGGTAGAGGATCAAGAGGGGTTGTGAACGTGTTTGCGTAAAGTTTGAGGATTTTTAAATAGTGGAAAATCACAGTGGTTTGTTGCAGGAGGAATGTTCAAAGCAAATAGAGGTGGGTGTGGTAATTGTTGAAGGTTAGTTATCACAATCAGACCTGGAAGCCTGGGATGTTTTTAAACTGCTGTTCAGCTACAGTAGTGAAGGTCTAAACTCTTAAAGAGTCATCCAAGAGGCATGATAGTTTGAGCCTGCTTTCTGTTATTGCCACCCCTAGCCTCCCGAAGGAGGGGAGAGAAGAAAGCCCCACTGTTTGCTCTCCAAGTGTAACTTCAGACAGGTGGGAGATGCCTGGAGGAAGAGTGGGGGAGAGGGGGACATGGGTGGGGTGCATGAGTAAACCAGGTGAAAGATGTTTCTACAGGGCTACAGTTACATCCAGGAGAATGAGGATGGCAGCTGTGGGGATGACACAGAAGGGCAATTACTCTTTTTTAAAAAGTCCCTTGTCGTTCACAGGTTACGCCAGTGTGGGAGTCTTCTCATATGAGGCCTGTCATAGATGAGAGAAGAGTCCTGAATGGGTATTGATCTTAGCACATCAGAAAGATGAGGGCATAGCTCAGGAGGAATGATAGTATGTTTGTGCTGTTGAGTAGGAGTAACCTGTAACCTGCTTCACAGCTGAGGTTGTAGGGCTGGAAACCTGGCCAGTTTAGGAAAGGATCTGGTGTTCTCAAGAATCAGAAGTTAAATACGAGTCAACAATTGCAGGCTATATAGAGGAAAACAAATTGTCATGTTCCAGTGTATAAATAGGAGTAGATCCTGTAGGACATGGGAAGCAACTCTTCTTCTTTGGAATGTGTTTGCAAGGCCTCAGCTGGAATGGGGTGTCCAGTTCTGAGCATCGCATGTTGGAGTCAGAGCAGGGGGCAGCCAGATGGACAGGAGTGGCAAAATGTATCAGAGCTGTAGGAAATGTGTGACCTGTGAGTGGCAACTGAAGAATTCAAAGCTTTTCAGACTCTGAGGGGAGATGTGAAGGGCTATTTTCAAAAACACAGGTTTCTGTAGCAAGAAATAACCTTCTTACTGTGTCTGTGATGGATGGGAGAGAAAATAGCAGGCTTAAATTGCAGTAAAGGAGACAGAATAAACAAAGAAATATGCACAGGCTTAGTGAGACACTGAAATCAATTGCACAGGAGGGTCGTGGAGTCTCTGCTAGTGAAGGCATTGGAGGTTCAGTTCAGCTGATCAATTGGGGTAATGCAGCCCTGCATACTTTGGGTTTGAGGGCTTTCAAAAGCCCTTCTGTTCCCCATTTTCCTCTGTTCTCTTAACACTTGCTGTATGTGCAAATTGTACACTAGAGACATGGTTTAGTAAGGCAGTAGGTGACTGGAGTACATGAAATCTAAGAATGTCAACTGAAAGTAGCTTTTCAGGTAAAGTGTGAGGAGCATAAAATTGGAGCAGAGGAATAGTAATGTAAATAAAAATTTTTAAATGGAAAAGGTAATCAGAAGATACATGTTATTTGCCCTGTTCCTCGATGTGCTGCCTTTTTAGTCCGAAGGCAGGAATTGTGCCTCTGAGTCTAAAGGCAACACCAACTGTTTTGTGAACTTTAAGTGGCTTTTTTGAAGGTTCAGCCTTCAGTAACTGAATCCTCTGGAGTGCTTTGCCTGAGTGAGGGACAGAGAAGAAAGAAATATTTTCTTCCTTTACACAATAGGCTGTAGGGCCCTGCCTCATTTTCCTTGAAGGACAGGAATTGGTTTTATAGGAAGCAGCTGGAGCTTGTTGAGAAAACTACACCAGTAAATAACAGGGAAAAAAGAGGAAACCTGCAGGACAGCCAATAAGCTGTTAAAAGGTAAAGCGAGGGTGTTACATTGTCATGTTACTAGGATGGCCAAAATGCAGGTATAAGAGAAAGGATGAAAACTCCTACCTATCCATGTAACGCACATAGTCTGAGAGCGTTACTTGGTGTTTAAGGAGCAAGTATGAATACCTGGAAAGCTTAGAATATGGTCAGAAAGTTAGTTCATTGAAAGTAGTGATTTATTTACCTCAATGGATTGGGAAGGATGCATGAGCATGTTTTCTATTCAGGTAAGCCAGATAGAAGCAAGCAATAGAAAGCAAAGTTAATGACAAAAAAATGCACTGAGGTGAAAAACATAGATTGAAGACAGTGGAAGAACAGAAAAGTAAGCAAAAAAAAGATGTGATATGTGATAATAATAATACCACCTTGTAGAAACTGCAGTAAGATGTCCAGTGTGCCCCTAAAATATATACGTGAGAGTACACAGAAAAGGGATTCGGAATACTCATGATATTTTTGTTTGAGTACTGTCAGCTTTTCTAGTCAACTACCTCTGTGAGTGCTGCAAGGTCTGTTGTTTATGATTGTTCAGTACCTCACTGGTCTAGTAGTGAGGGTATGGGTGCAAAAGCCCACCCTCATATCCATCAGAAATGCAAGAGTTGGCTGACCACTGAGATGAGTTTGCCTCAACATCTGTCATTTGCTGTCAGCTCTGGAAAAGTGCAAATTACCACATCCTTTTAAATGGGCCAGCAGTTTGAACATGGGATTTCACATGCCTGGGCATTGACACCCTGTCTAGGGCTTTGTGACCTGTCCTCAAGGGTTTCCGTGCATATCTGAACATCTGCTTTTCTGGGCCACCTGTTTACTTCTTTGAAGTAATTGTCTCCCTGCATTTTACATTTTACATGGTGTGAGCTCTCCTCTCTGGACAGTCAATAAATCGGCTAGTGCATGTGGTGCACATTTGCCCTCATGCCAGAGGGCAATTCAGTTGGCTCATTCAGTTGCTCAGCTCGTTCCCATTTTAGCATGGAAGTTACCTCAGGTCCATAGCAATATGAAGAGCCGGTGCAAGGATTGGGTGTGATTAATTTTGAAAATACCAGTTGAAAATCTGCTAAACCAGCCTGCCAGTGGGTGAAATAAAAGAAACTCCCAAGCATGTGGGGGTTTATGTCTTGGAAAAAAAAATTCAATTATAGTCTGAAAAAAAAGATGCGCTGAGGCTTCAGCCCCAAACTGATCTTGTTTCCCATAAGGCTTTTAACCACGTGAACAAAACCACCTACCCCCTCAGTCAAAAAATGTCACTGTCACCACGGTGCTTGAAGGCGGAGTGCAGGAGAGCTGCTACAATTAGTGTGCAGTCTCATTAGCCTGTACCATTTTCCCCCTGTAGGCACTTGCTTGATTTGATTATAACAGTGGAGATATAGTGCAGTTTGAAAAGGCAGACCAGTCCTGGATTATCTGAGCTCACCAAAGCTGTCCCCTGTGGATCAGACACCTATTTGTATTGTTTCCTTACGTCAAATAAGGCATCAAAAGTGCCTTTATTGGCAGTGGTTGCTACATGCCGGGAACCTGCCAAGATTAAAATACACAACATTCCCCTCCCCGCCTTCTGCTTTCAAAAAGTAATCAGCATAAAAGTGTTATTCAATTACTACCCAGTCAGAAACCTCATGTTGTCAGAAGTTGTTACTAAGAAGACAGTGGTTATTAATAATGTACCCAGTTGCATTCTTCAGTATAACTTTGGAAATTATACAGATGTGTTTATTTGCAGATGACTGGTTAATTTTGCTTTGAATCACTAAGTAATCTGCAGAGAACATATGTAGCAAGTAGCTTAGGTATAATTTATTCATTGTTCCTCTAATTATTCTGTTTGTCTTTATTCCATATTGTCAAGTTTTTGGCTGCTCTTAGTAATAAAAGCAAAATGAAAACCCATGCAGCTGAAGATGTAATTTCTTTAGCATTTTTCAAATAGTCGGGGGATTCATCTTTTCTTGGAATGAATTGATTTACTACAATTACTGTCTAATGCAAGACTATAGAATAAGTTAAAACCTTATAAAAATTTTAAGCACTCCTCTGAGGAAAGCACAGTCAAGTCATTTGCAATATCTATGCAGAGTTATCTCAATCTTTTTTGTTTGCTGGCATGGAGAGAAAATATCATTTCTAGAAATTCATCATCATTTCAAACAATAAACTGATACAGCATCCATTAAAACTATTGAAGAAAAGCAGCAGTGTCATATGTCACCTCTGAGTTAGAGATGATGAATTAAAATGTCAGTGTGTCCCCATTTCTTCTTATATTGTAGACTGATGATAGTTCTTCTAACTAAACACATGCAAAAAAACCAACCAGCCAACCAAAAAAAAAAAAAAAACCAAAAAAACCCAAACCCAAAAAACAAACAAAACACACTCAAAAACCCCAAACTAGTTTACCAGCATAGGTCTAATTCCTTTTTGACCAAGTGCTGTTTTGTATGTTGTTACCTGTAAAATCTTTAATTTCCAATGGGATCTTCTTCCATTTTTTCCTCAAGTTAGAAACTTTTTATATGGCTATTTTGCACCAGAAGTGTAAGGAACTGAACTTTCTCAGGAATTTAATGTTATTCTGGGAGAGTTCCTTGGTCTGCTCTTTGGACAATTTCACTTTAAAGGAGTTATTGTTTGCTGCCTAACACCTTACCTTTCCTAGGGAAGATTGTAGCAGAGATTGTGTAGTGTGTAAAATCAAAAATAATTCTGATCTTAAAGTCATACTAACAAGCAGAGGCATTCTTTTTTCTCATCTGATGTATCTCGTGTAAATAGAAAACTGTAAAGATTTGGGATATACCTTGTTAAAACTTTTATTTAGAAAAAAGCTATGCATTTTTTTCCAAAGAAAGTTTTCACTCTGTCTCTCCAAAAGTACAATTGGTACTACTGTTTACTGCTCTAATTTGAACTGAATTTATTTTGTAGCTATCCCTTGAACAACAGTGATCTGCACCAGTTCAACATTGAGGAGAATGGTGGAACACCATATACCACAAAAATGCCTGCAAGGCACCACCACCACCACCGTCATCACCACCACCATGCGAATTACAGCGCCCTTGCTCCCGACAGCAAGGACATTGTTTCTGGAGTTCCAAACCCAACCAGTAAGTCCACTACAGTGAATGTCATTTCAGTAACTGTGCTGCTTTCAGATTTGTCTCTGCTAAAGAGGGAAAAGGAAAGGGAAAGGGGAAGGGGAAGGGGAAGGGAAAGGGAAAGGGAAAGGGAAAGGGAAAGGGAAAGGGAAAGGGAAAGGGAAAGGGAAAGGGAAAGGGAAAGGGAAAGGGAAAGGAAAGGGAAAGGGAAAGGGAAAGGGAAAGGGAAAGGAAAGGAAAGGAAAGGAAAGGAAAGGAAAGGAAAGGAAAGGAAAGGAAAGGAAAGGAAAGGAAAGGAAAGGAAAGGAAAGGAAAGGACATGCATTTCAGTTTTTCTCTTTGAAGAATATGTATCCTGTTATTATTCGCTGGCTTTCTGGCATGTGCAAATGAGACAAGATTTGTAATTTCCTGGCTTTGCTATGGGGTTGCAGGATTTGGTGTTAGATTGGTGTTCCATAGCTGAACAAATACCCAATTAGTCACAGATACGGAGTCTCTAGCCACTTGGCACAGGCTATTTTTTCATTGTTACTATTTATTTGTATATTTTCACAAACCTATCCTCATCTGGTTTTGTCTTTTGCTGATCTGCCCAGCTGGCCTTCAGCCCTCATTGTTTGGATCTGACTCTTGCTTTCATGTCTGGGCACAAGCAGCAGAAATTTTGGAGCACTGGACAATCAGCATCTTGCTTTTAGTTTGGGTAGTGGGATCAATTACTGCACTATCATGACTGGAATATGCTTACTTCCTTGGTGCAGAAATTCTGGGCTTGTAGAAATCAAAGAGGAGAGAAGCCTATCTATTCCTGATGTTCCTTGGGGAGTCTGGGTGTAAGTCTCTGCTGCTGAACGTGTACAGGCATTTTTAATGGTATGTAGCTGGGCCAAATGTTTGTAGGTTTAGACAGGAACTGAAAGAGAAACATCTCTGTCATTGAGCAGTTCTATTGCTTGCTCTCCAAATTTAAAATCTCTGCACTCTACATTCCCCTATGTGAGATACTGGAGCTGTGTAAGAATTTCAGAAGATGGGCAAAACAAGATACGATCTATTATTTTCCTTGTTTCAAGGGAACAATGAGTTCTTCCTTTGACCAGTTTCTGCCTTCATAACTGTAAATCACCCTAAAATAGGCATCCATTATGGAAACTTTAAGCCTGGTCAGTTAATCTGACAGTTTTCAAATTCCTGAAACCATGGTCTTGTAATGAATGGTGCTGAGTGACCCTGACTGTAGGCTGTCCCACATCAGCAGTAATACACAGGCATCTGCCTGCACAAGCACTTCAATCAGACTTTGTTTCAGAAACTCAGAAACATTTTCTTTAATTTTCTTTTCCAAAAAGAAGGGGATAGTTTTTAGAAGGGAAGCTCAAGAAATAAAATGCAAGGCATGGTAGACATTTAAAGGACGGAATCCTAAGCAGCAATATGATTTGCTTGCTAGGACTTTCAGTGAAGCTACTCCCTTAGGAGCAAACTCCAGAAAAAGTGTTGTTTTCCATTGACTGTATGCTGCACAGTGGTGTACCTTCGTGCTGGGAAGCACATGAGGCTGGCATGGAGCATGGCCAGCATGGCCACCCCCTGCATGGTACAGCCACAGAGGCCCAGAGCAGGCTGCTGGGTGCTCCTGTGCCACCGATGAGTATCTGCATCTTGGCCCTGTTCTGCAGCACTATCTGGGAGGGAAGTAGAGACCATCCTGTTGGGGAACTGCTGGGCAGCTCACCTAGCCCTGCACAAGCTGGGCCTCATTCGGTCTGTTGCAGGGCTGCCCTGTGTGCCGGCCAGGCACTGGCCATGGAGGGGTGCTGGCAAGGCTGTGCCTTGCTGGAAAGCCTTGGCCGGGCTGTCAGCCTGGCACAGTGGGTGGCGGTGACCTTTCTGGGGGGTGTGCCAGCCCATATTTTCCTTTCCCAAATTAGAGCTGAAGCATGCCAGGAAATTCATTCAGAGCCAGTTCTGCTGCTGCTGAGTGTCCCGACCCGGAGGGCACTGCAAGCCCTGCTTTCCCCATCCCCCTCCTAGAGGCTCCCCCTGTCCAGCCCATGGCTCTGTGTCAGCCTCACAGCACCTCGGCTTCAGCCCCAGAAGTGCTGCAGCAGGGCTGGTCTCTAGCTTCCCCCCCCGCCATGGGCCCACCTGGAGGACAGGAGGTTAATTAAAGAAACAGCAAAAACCACCCAGCGCAAGGTGTTTATTCCAGCACTCTGTCTCCTCTAGGTCACACAGCTTTCCTGCTTCTCCTTATTGCAGAAATAACCTTAGAAAAAACCTAGAAGAGCACAAGGGCAAACATCAGGAGCAGTTCTCTTTGTACCCAGTGAGTGTTACCTTTGAGATAAAACGGGGGCCGAGGAGGCTGCGTGTCCTCACCCAGGCATGAGGAGGGCGAGCCCTCTCCCCCAAACCTCGCAGTGCTATTGGGGAGCAGCCTCCCTGGCCTTTCCAGCAGCTGCCATGCTCTGAAGGGGACTTCAGCAGCCAAGACCTGTGTGTGGCACCTGCTCCTGGAGACACATTTACCTTCCTCTTCACTTTGTCTGCTTAAGGCTGTTTGATTCAGGAGAAGAGAATTGGTGCTGGTTTCTGACGTGGCCTAATGCCAGTAACACTGAATGCCAATTCCCAGTTTCTTTAAGGCAGCAGAAAGGGACCAGACACTTCTGAGGGGAGGCTGTGGTGCAAGCATGCCAGATGCTCCCAGCTGAGCTATTAGGCAGCTGTGCATGCTGTGTGCTGGCTTGTATTGACATAGGCATGCTGCCCCACAGCAATGCATCACTGATCCCCTGTGGAGACCTGTACTTGTGCATCAGGATGGAGGTGCAAAGCTGATTTTCCTTGAAAAGGCAGTCCGTGGTTAGTCCTGGCATGTTTATGCTGTGAGAGCAGTGGCAGTATGGGTAGGACCACTTCCCTTAAAACAGAATCAGTTACCCATTTGCAGTTTGGGGTGACAGGTGTAAGTGCCTTTTCAAGGCAAAATGCTGCTCAAGCTATTGCAGCTGAGAAAATTCTGTTGTAGAGAGCCTGTGGTAAAGGTTCACAGAGTATGTACTGGAATGGTTAGGAGCATGCCGGCTGTCAGTCGGTTATCTGGGACAGCACATGTGGCAGAGTGTGTGAGACAAGAAGAAAATCAGTCAGAGAGGAGACACTATCAGGGGTCTGTGTCAGGAACATGAGGACATGGGGGATGGATGTCTGGCTCTAGGCTGTGTGGAAAGGCCACTGCTGGAAAAGTGTTTCTAGGAAGTAAGTGGTCACTAACCTGGGAACACTCTCAGGAAAGCGGGGGCTTGTGACCAAAATATCTGAAGTGGAAATGCCTGAAGAGCAAAAAGGTCTCCTGGGGGAATGTGCTATCTTAGCGGGAACTTCTCCATGAGGCTGACAGAGATGACACCAGCAGTTCAATTTGCCTACCTTGTGGTTTTCCAAGAGACCACACGTGGTTTGTGACTTATTCCAGTTGGTATGGACTGGACTCATCTCTGAGCTCTGAAATGGTTTTAAATTCATCTGAAGTGGAACGTGGCATGACCCACCAATATGTAACCAGCATTGGGCTGAAAGAGGTAGAAAGCATCTGCCTTGCCTCTATTCTGATACAGGCCAAAATTCCAGTGCAATTAGCAGGACACAGACAGGAGAGAGGGAAACAACAGTATGCCCAGCCGAAGTTCCCTTTAAATACCAGTGCATGTTTCTCAGCAAACACACAACCTGGGACTTTGTTACAGAAAACAAACCCAGGCCAGACCTACCTGATTTTTCACATTCCAAGTAATTTGTCTACTTCAATTACTGGAGAAAGTGAAATCTGGTGAAACAAATCTGATGTGTGTGTTTATGAAGGCAGTTCAGCAGAAGATGTTGTTTTCCTGCATTCGGCCTGATTATTGTATTCGCGATGCTGCTCTTCACCTCGAAGCTCACGTACACAGATCACATCTTCTTCACAGGACATCTTTCCCCAGCATGTTCACAGAACCCCAGTCCCAAAGACCACTCTATTCAACAGCAGTTGGCCTTGCAGCACAGAGAGGGCAAGCTGCTTGCTTAGCCTAATTGGCACAGCAATGCCGTGCCTGGATTACCAGATGCACATGAGCAGACTCACCGGCAGCAGCTGGGGCTATCACTGAAAGCAGATGCAAACAAGTATGCAATGCAGCTCACAGAATTTTTATGACACAAAATGATGACCGGGAAGAGGGGACCCAGCTTGCCTCTTGAACTCTGGGCTGAGCTTGCAGGTTATCACTTCTAAAAAGACATCCTTTATTCCTGAACTGCTCGCTACGAAAGACCTTGCATAACCCTGAGCAGACAACGGTCTAACACAGACTGAGTTTCAGGCTGAAAACAGTCCTTTGAAAAACCGCAATGCTGCCAGATCCTTTCTTGGAATGAAAGCCTGGTTTTTGCCAAGACTTAGTGCTGATTCAAGAAATTTATGCCTTTTGTAGGACTTCAGTTTTTTTCCTTTTTTTTTAATCTGTTTTCAAGGTTGAGTTAAAAGGCTAAACTGACCTGCTCGTTTTCCAGAGCTATCCCTTTAAACAAAAAAAGCTGCTTAGAAGTCCATTTTAAAACATAGCAAACTTGAATAATTTAAATAAGGCACTTTCCCCCCTCTAAGAAAATAGAACAATTGTGTTTCTTAAAAAAAAGAAAAAAAAAGAAAAAAGTCATCATGTCTTATCTTATGGCTGTGGTAGTTTATTCCCAGGGTATCATTGGGCAGTTTCACAATGTCAGCTGTGATGTGAGACATGCTGAACTCTGGCAACCCCTGGCAACACTAGCTTGTGATGAGAGACCACCAAGGGGAGGTCAATACTGATATTGTAACCCCTTCTAGGACTTTATTACCTCAGGGTCTGATTATGTTTCACTAATACCAAAACCAGATTTTTGCTTATATCCCTATAAGCTGGTTTTAGCAATTTGTCTCTAGTCAGCAAAGCCCTTAATGTATATTTAAACAGCTGTAGAATTAGATCTGGAGTGAGTAATATTTAATATTCTTAGGACAGCTTAAGAACCTGATCCAAACCAAACTGCAGCCAGTGCAAGGTTTTTATTGATTTCAGTGAGCTTTGAATCAGACTCCAGAGATTACCGGATTGTTCCCAACTGTTATTACCTAGAATCCATGGCAAAAAGAAATACAAGACACAGAGATTAGTTAAATCATCACATGATGAAGTTTATTTTCTCAGAGTACTTGCAAATACACATATATATGCCACACCACCCCCAATATGTTGACAGAGACCTTTCAGAGCTGTCTCAAAAAGTATTTTTCCTTATCTTTGTGTGTCGGTGGCTTGCTCAAAATCTCTGTTGACAAAGCATAGCGAATTCCTGACAGCAGTCTTAAAGAGGCTGGCATATAAATAAAGATGTCTGAGAGAAGCCAAAAGCTATACTCTAATGTCTTTGCACATCACATGTTCTGAGAATGGCACCTTGGCTGCATAAATAATCCCTCTGGTGTCAACTGAGTTTTAGAATATAGAGGTGGTAGAGGTGGGGGGGAGGTAAGGAGAGAAGTATGTATCCTAAAGCTGGCAAAAGTCCTGCTGAAATGAAAGGATGGGTGAGAAGCAGGAGGGGGAGGAATTGTTTGCTAAATAGAAATACCTGACAGGCATAATTATGAAACATTTTAGAAGGTCTTACAGGGAAGATACTTTGCTGACCACTGTCTCTTCAAATAGAATTGAGTGTCTTGCTCTGCAGTTCTTCTGTAGCCTCCTTCAGACTGTTTTTTTCTTTCTTTCTTTTGGGCATCTTTTTAGAACTGAGCTCAGGACTTCCCCTTCTTTATGATGAAACTTCTCATCTGAAGAAAATAGAAACAGAGAGTGTGAAGGTAGTTGGACCATGGCCAGCCCTCCACGTCGGCATGAACAAGGTATAGCATATACATGTGTACTTTTATATATATATATGCCAGAGCCCCTTTGTCACTTCATATTCAAAAGCTGCTGCTTTTTCACCTCCAATTCAAATCAACATTCATCTACAACCAGCTTGCTTTTTAATCACCTCTCCCCGTCTCCTTTTGGGACTGGGATTTGGTTTTTAGATTTAGCGTTTCAATCAACTTTGCCTTTTAAAATTTCATAAGCTGCTGCAACAATGTTATGATGTAGGTTTAGTTCAGTTGTGAAGAGTTAGTCGTCTAGGCAGCCCCGAGCTGTAAAAAAATAACAACACTTTAAGTGATAAAAACCCAAAAATCTTGTTTTTCTACATGAGGAGTCCATGTTATGCCTTAAACTCCCCCAGCATCTGATGTTAGTAGTGGGTGTTTTATGAGTGAGTTTTTTGTCAAGGATGGTAAAATATTCATGTCCCACTGTTTCTACCAGAGATCAGGGGCCAGCAGGTTGGTGGCTCCATGTGAGGCTAAATTCACTGTCCCTGCACTGTGGGGTACCTTGATCTGAGTCTGGATAGGGCCACAGAGACCTGGACCTCTGTTTTGCAACCACATTGGTCCTGGACTGGATCCAGTGAATTCAATGCGAGCATTGCCATTGGCTTCAAATGAGGTGGGTCTGGGCCCCCAGTGACTGTACAGGTCTGTTAAAAGCAAAGCAGAGTTTTGAGTCAGCTCAAGGGAGAACTCAATTAAATTACTTTACCTTGTTTTTACAAAGCCTTTTTGTTTTTACTTTTACAACCAACCTTTTGTTATTTATATTATTTTAACAAGCATTAGGGAAATTAAAATCAAAGGGGAGATGACCACGTGTACCAAAAATATAAGCACAAAGGAGCTTGTACAAGCACAAAGGAGTATATCTATGTAGCAGAATCTTTTTTTTCTCTTGATGAGGGATTCCAGAAGATGGAAGTCAAGGCTGAAAATCAGTGAGTCATGTGTTTCTAATGAAAAAATTAAATGTTGGAAGTTTTTTCCAACATTATAGTTAATTGAACTTATTCTGTAATGCAGTGAATTTTCTGTCATGAAGATTGCCTTGAACCATGTTCAGGGTATGTTGTGGGATAGTGGTGTAATTCACCTGTGGACCGTAGTCCTTATGCCTTATGAATGTGGTCATGAGGTCATGACCTATGTCATGATTTTTGGAGACTTCTCAATGAACAGATGAAGGTGGAATATTTTAGACTTTTCCCCAAGTCTATTTTGTTATCACATGTGAGAAACTGTCGGTTTGTCTGGTTGGTTTGAGTGGGAATTAAAAAGATAAATTATAAAGTAAATAAACTAGGGTGAAATAGAAGTCATCTTTTTTATCCATGAACGTTTCTCAAGTTGTCCCTTTAGAAATACTTTTAACTGGTAATAAGTACAGTTTTTTATAGGCAAAGCTTTCTAAGCATTGGCATAGTTTGCCAAAGGAAAATTGTCCACCCCAGATTCATCCAGTGAATACCCAGGTCTTGTGAGAGGACTTTTGTAGTTCTGAAGTGATTACTGATACTCTATCTGAATCCCAGCTGAGAACATTCACTCAAGTGCAATGTCCAAAACATACATTAAAGAACTGTACTATTGAGCTCATTGACAGCTCAGTTTGGCATATTTAAAGGGCTAAAGTGAAGAAGTGAGAGGACTCTCTCTATGTTGACCACAGTGCACAAGTGGATAAACCAATCTGACCTGTGTTGCACGAAAGACCCAAACAGATGGTCTTAATGGTACCCTTGTGATTTAAAAATTAGTAGATTTATGGTCTTTCTTCTTTCTTTAACTGAAAGCTTAAAACACTTTGGTCCTGTATTCCACCATACTGTGCAAGTAATCTCAATAGAGTCCCTGCAACTTCTGCCTGGCAAAGCCTGACCTCTTATCCTCTCGCTCTTATTTGCTGCAAATCTGTGAAGAGAGAACTCGGCTCTTCTATAATTAGTGGTTTTCTTTGACTTGTCCTTACAGCTCTAGAATCTTGTCCACAGTCAGATGGATTATTTATTTAAGGACTAATTAGCAGAACCCAGTATGATAGCAAGTCAGAGCTTCACAATAAATGCAGCTGCACAGTAAATGCAGCCTGTGTCTACTGTGGTGAAACTGCCATCAGTCAAAGTTTAGCTGATGAAAAAGTCTTGTAATGAGCACTAAGAGCTGCTAAATGCTTCTGTTTCTGGCAGAAGTTCAGCAAAAAGCAAGGCTAGAGACACGGGCTGTCTAATGAAATCCCTCCCCTGGCAACCATAGAGGCTTTGGGTTTAAGAACTGGGCAGCAGTCCCGTGAACAGCAGTTACCATGCAAATGAAAAGGAGGCCAGTCCCTCAAAATTTATTAAAATTACTGTTTTGAGCCATCTGAAAATTGTACATACTCTTGAAACTGGCCCAGAATCACTACCAGAAAGCACCTCAGTGATCCAGCCCTCACATTACAAGCTGTGGGTTGTGGCAAGTCATTCTGAAGTTCTTTCACCCCTTGCTTATGGTCTCTTCTTCAAGCACCATTTTTTGACCTAGATCTTGGTAAAATGTGTACACAGAGTTCATAAAGCTAAAACCAGTAAACCACAGGTCTTTGAGCTCTGAGCAGAGCCTGGAGTTGCCTCAGCAGATGGCTTCTCCAATGAAAGAGAGGGACGTGCTGTAAATATTGGGCTAACCCTGGGCTAAAATGCTGTGGAGCATTGCCCAGCACAACGGCAATGAGGCAAGTTAGACAAAATTGATCAACCATGAACTGACGAACTGTGACAAGTATTTTTCACTGAGACCGTGGCCTTTAAAGTTCCTTTGGTTATGGTAGTTAACTAGCTACTCAGTGCAGCAGCAAAAAGATTTCAATGAGTGGTCAATCTGTCTAGTTTCTGGCAAAAAAATGAAATGTTAACACCTCTCCTGCACCACTCCATTGATTTCTGGTCTACTAAGTGCTTTTTATTCCCTAGTTTTGCATCCTCTGAAATATTATGCTTAAACAAAACCAGTGAATCTATTAAGAAGATGTTTCATTTACTCTATTTTTGAAAGAAAAAAAAAAGCGGTGGTTTCCACATCTATTGTGAAGTCTCAGTTTTCACTCACTCTCTCCCTTCCTGTTGCTAATTGTTATTTTTTGAAGCAAAGTGCTTTTGGGCTAGAATTTGTCAGGCTTAATAATCAATCCATAGGAGAATTAACAAGAATTTGAGTAAATTAGATTCAGCAGTTAATTAATTTGATTGCCTGCTACAGCAAACTTTGTCTCATGGGAATGATGAATGGATGTGTCCATTCTCTTTCCCAGAGCTGTTTTTTATAGTGTATCATATGTCTGTCCACCTAATGAATGATGAAAGTCCATTTCGACATGAGTTTCATGTCCTTTTGGTGCTAGTGGACTCCCTAATCTCCAGGAGAGACAAGCCTAAGTGAATGTATTTCCGATTTTCTTCTTGGAAGCCTTTCATTAGAAAAATATGTTGTCCCATCCCCCATTGCTCTGTGTGTCTATGACATAAAACCAAAAATGTATTGTTAACATTTCTGAAATCTTGGGAGTCTAGTAATTATTAGCCCAGATGTACTTATTACATAAAAACAAAGAATAATAATACATTTCAAATTGTTTCTGCCACTTTTCCTGGTGTTATGCTCACCCTTCCCCTACACCCCTGGATCCTAAGGTTGGTGATTTCATTCTGCTGGGGTCAGAGGGGATGTTATAATGGTCAGAGAATCATAGAAATGTTTAGGTTGGAAAAGACCTTTAAGACCATTGAGTCCAACTGTTAACCCACCACTGCCAAGTCCATCACTAAACCATGTCACTCAGTGCCACACCTACACGTCTTTTAAATACCTCCATGGATTGCGACTCAGCCACTTCCCTGGGCAGCCTGTTCCAATGTTCCATCCTAGGATATACTTCGGGTCCTTTTGTATGTTTGCAAACAAGCATTTACATCTTGCTCTTTCTTCACTGATCTGCATCTTCACATTACACCCCACTTTACTGTACATGGTGGCTTTTACATCTGTATGCTATACACTTTGTCTTCACTCTCTTCATTGCCCCTAAAACCAGTTTTTTCCAGGTCAAGGTCTGCACTTTGAATGGCCATTGGTGAGTTGTTTATAGCTATGGGTCCCCAGTGCCAGCCTGTGCCCCTTGGGCTATCACTCTTTGTCAGCTCTCCTCTACCCTGTGTCCTATGTCTTCACTTCTCAAGGCCCCCATTATCATACCAACCCTACATTGCTTTGTACTACATATTTGTGTTAGAGTCATAAATATTTCATTCTACAAAGAATAACTATTTGTGTTACTGTTCCCATATATAAAATTACTGCTGTTACAGTTAAACTTAGTAGAACAAAGCTTCAGGCAGATTGAGAAAGCTTCAGACAGAACGAGCCTGATGAGCCTTACTGTCTTTGCAAACTGTTCGAAGCTTATGGCCTTTTGCTAGCAGGACAAGACCATATTACAGAGCTGCCCACTTATGCAGATTGACTGCTTGCAAATGACACCACCTGCAAAAAAACTGTGGAACTACCTGCCCATGCATAACTGCAAAGCCTAAAGCTACTGCAGTTCCGAAAATCATTCGTAGTTTGAGAAAACCCACAAAACCCACTCACTTTGTTGATGAGACTCCTGCGTGTGATACACTGATCAGAGGGTATGTCCTGGGAAACATCACTGCTGTGGCCCAGTAAGACTATTGTGAAGCTTGACACTGACAGAGGCAGGATGTAATAATACTGAGCGATAGTGTTTTATAAAATAAATTTGACACCAAGACTGAAAGAGCTTTGCTTCAAGGATATAAGCATAACAAGATTTATCAGGAGTTATATCTTTCATTAGACCAATTGATAGCTGACATGGGGAAGATCTTTTGTGTCTGACAGCTTAATGAGGGGGGTGGCTGTTTTGGTTTTTTTCCAGTTGTATTTTTTTTCTAATAAAGAAGTTGCAGTTTTCTGCTTGCAAATTTTGCCTCGAATAAGAATAACATGTAATTGTACAGGTCTTATCATTGTGGTTTCTGTTTGTAATTGATGTTAGCTATCACATGGGGAAAAAAATCAATTAATCTCCTAGTAGAAAGGTGTCAAAGGAGTCTGTAGATTGCCGTGCACATTTGTGGATGTAGTTGAGTCCCAGGACATCTTATATAGCTAATGTACTTTCAGAACCTATATATCTGTGCTGTCTTTGTTAAAATTTTACCTCCCACTAGTAGAGATGACTAGCAACAAAGAATAGACCTAGATTCCTAAAGAAAATATTAATTCTATTCTTCAGTTATGTCCAGTCAAATACATGTTTTAAACATGCTGTTTGGCTAAGAAGAGGCTATCGATAAATTCACGGAGGTGAAAGATCATGAATCTTGCTCTTGATACAAAGTTTGATGTGGAACAAAGCATGAACCTTTTAAAGCAGAGAGAATGGAAATGGTATGTACAAGAGTGGAATTCCTGGGTTTCATGCAACTATTTTTATATTCTGTGCATGTACTTAATATTCACTTGCAAACTAAAGCCAGTGTCATCATTATCTAACACTGTACAAATCTGCCTTCAGTTCTAGTACCAGCAAATGTAATTGAATTTAAAGTAAATGTTTGGGAGGAGAAAAACAAGCCCAAGACCTCGATTACAAAACAAAAAAAATGCCTCTAGTTTTATGTGTGTTTATATCTGAGCTTGTTTGACCCACTTCTATCCATTTAATTGCAATTCTCCAGTGTTCTCCTCTGGAAAAATAAAATTCTTCATCAATGGTGAAAGCAATGTTGCTATTATTTAGCACCCGCAGAACTGGAGGTGGAAAACTGGAGTGTTATCAGGTATCTTAATGGTTTTTTTCTTCCTTTCTAAACCTTTTAGGATGAGTTTAAATTGCAAATCTAAGCAAGAAAATGATCTCTTTCAAATGCAAGTTTGACTCCAAGACACTCACTTGAAAGACCATCTAAGATTGTTTTGAATTACATAATAAGAAATGGTAAAATAGGAATTTTCATTAGCATTATGCCATGTTTAGCTTTCTAATGACTTCCAAACAGAATATTCTTAGTTTATAAATGAAAACAAAATTTTAATAACTGACAACCCGGGTCAACATCTGAATACCCAGCTGCTGTCTTTATGCTTTATTCATCACTGCAAGCAGTGAGGATTGTAAAAAGGAAATGTAAAATTCCTTTCTTATATAGCAAAATAAATGAGATTACAGCTTTCATTCTTGCAGCAATAGTATATAGAGATTCCTAATGCAGGTAGGTTTTAGACCTTTGATTTTCTTATAAACTAGTGAAATGAACCATAGAAGATCCTGCATGTATTTTTCTATCCCTGAAATCTTTTCTTTTCTTTTGCCTTCTTGATGACAGTTATACTTTCAGAGTTAATTTGGGGGATGAATGAGCTTATATGTAAATATTAGTGACATTAAGGAACAATAGGAACTTATATAAATGCTTATAAGCGCTAACAGGCTACACTAAGGAGGTCCTACTTTGTTCTGTGATTTGAGTTCACTTTTAGTTTGAATCTTCAGTGCCACTGACTCTGTGTGTAACAATCTCAGCTAATCAGCTGCGGGAGAGCAGAATTCAGGATGTGCTGCACTGTGGCAGAAAAGTCCTCCACTGCCAAGGCAGGCTGGCAAAAGAGCCTTTCACGTATGTTCAGAAGATAAAGGAGGTCTGGGTCAGATCCAGCACTCCCAAGTCCCATATGGGGGTTGTGTGCACTCAACATTCCCACTGGGGCAGGGAGACGTGGTGGCCTTCAGCTACTGGCTCAGCATCTGGTGAGCAGGACAAGACCGAGCAGCTATTGCAGCAATGTCTGCTCTTCATGTGTGATCAGTCACTAAAGGTGCTGCTGCTCCTGTTGCAGTGCAAGCAAAGCAAATTTTGCTTACCTGAAGGTGAAACCCCTAAAGTGTGGCCCGAGCAAGGGCTAAAGTAGAACTGAATACCCAGAAATGGCTTTTAAGAAGTGTGTCCCCTCTAGCAGCAGCAGCTTTCCCTTTCAGCCAGGTCAGCAAGCATCAGCATTTGGACCTCTCAGGTTATGAAAATCTCAATGTGAGACTTGCATATCAGATCTCATACTGGGGATGTCCATTACATGGAGTCGTCTGGCATAATCCTGAATACAGCAGGAGATTTAGACCTTTTGAGGGTTCCCAGCTAAAGGGTAGCCTTGGGAGCCTTTATCTTCCTCTTGGTCAATGTGGGAAAATTGGGCAGTGGAGGAAGAACATAAGGACTGAAAAATATTCATACCATCTGAATAATAGATAGATGGGACTTTGGAACTTTTCTAGTTACAAAACAAGCTAGTCTCCTAAACAAGCATTAGTTGTCTTGTTTTAGCTAGTAAAATACCATTCCTTAATCTTGCTTGACTAAAATGAAGTTTAATTAGTATCCAGTGTTAAAACAAAGGTGGGATTTTGCATGGCCTTTATAAATGCCACTGCTTACTTAGTGTGTTGTTCTTTCTGCTGCTAGAAATCAATACACTTAAAAGTTAACAGTAATAGCAGCCCTTTTAAAATGTGTACTAGTTCTCTTTGGCTGCCAAGACTATTGGTGAAGTAAAAGTTATGCTTTTTTTACAATTAATTTTGTCCTTTTGAGTATCCCCACATCTCAGCTGCATGAGTAGCCCAGAAAAGGCAGCCTTGGCAAACAAATATTTCATGGTTTTTGGGGCTTTTTTCATATACTTGCCAGAACTACTGTTATATTCAAGACCGAATAGATGACTAAGTTGCTCCAGCTAGATACTGTCACTTTTCATTTTATGTGTTTTCTTTTTCCCTTAGGAGGAAAGGGGGGAGAATGAAAAATCAAAAAATATCATCTTCTAAAACAAGTAAATGTAGCTTGAAAAATAAACATGTAAGAATTATTAGAAATTTGCTAGAGAAAAAAAAAATCTCATGATGAACAGTCTTTTAACAGACAGTTGTTCAAAGTCGTACCTGGCAGCTATGGCATTTTGGATGCAGAAGTCTGCTAGACCAACTTTGAATACACACAAATATCTTGCAGTCTCAATAGAGTTCTGCAGAGGTCTGGCTCTTTCCCTTCCCAAAGTTTGCTGAACAGTTTCCTCAGGCAACACAGTTGCATTTGTGATTTGCTCCACTTGCAGAAAGTGTCCCCAGAATCTTGATGTTCCCATTTTTCTGTGATTGTTCAAGGACCTGAGAAAAGAGTCAGTAAGACTGTAGTTGCCTTCAACCAGTGGGATGCCAGGGGGAGGGCAGAAGGAAGGAAAAAAGAGGCATATTTTGAAGTTAGATAACTAATCACATGGTAGTTTCAGTACATAACTGAAAATAAACTGAAAAAAATAGGTTTTGTCCTGAAATACTTCAACAGAGGTGAACCTCAAGGATCACTGGACTTGGTTTACTGATGCCTTGTACCTGTTTTGACTAAAATCTGAATGACTGCATTATATATCTGTTCTATCTGGGTGTATACAACCACTCACTCTTCTCAGCAATGAGAGTGGAAAATGCATAATCTAGGCTATTACTCATCTATAATTCAGGTCTTATTTACAGGAAGAATAGGAAAGTTTGCAATGGGTGTTATGCCATTGCCCAATTATTCTTTAAAAATATGTAACATATTACAGGCTTTTGTTTAAGCGTTCATGTTTACAATCCTGGTCTCCTTCATTCTGTTTGTTGATACATTAGTCTTTGTCTCTTTTTTTTTTTAGTTTATTTTCCTTTTCTGCATGGAAAGTTTATTCATGTTGGGATTTCTGCTGAATATAGTTTGTTTAAGGCACAAAACCTTTAGGTTGTGTTTGAGCAGGTCACTAAACTAGCTGTCCTGAGGCTACAATTTCTTATCCTGATTGCTGCGTAGGTGAAGGGTTGACATCAAGTGGAAACAGCAGCAGCAATGTTTAAACCCCCTGGATTTTTCTTTTCTTTCTGAGACAGAGATTTTCCTGGGCTTGTAATTAAGTGGAGATCACTTCACATCCCTCTGGTTAAATTTGCAAAGCTTTACATTTGAAAGGTGATGTAAGATGTCAGTGTTCACTATAGTTGTGTTGTTCTCCTGCCTGTTATGGGATATTTTGAAATAATACTTTTCTTCCACAGTGTGATCACAGGTTTGGGCAACCACTCCAGGGCCTGGCTGGGCTTTTTTTTTCTATATCTTCACTCCACATCAGTTTCTTGCTACTATTACTCAAGCTTCCCTGAGGCTATTCTTGTCTTGAAAATAGTATCAAGTCATTAAATATTTTGAAAACTTCTGAGATGTATCTATCAGGATATGAACATGGAAGTTTTATCCAGTACTGCTGAATCAAATTATTACAAGTAAAAATTAAACCTTTGATCATTTTGTAAACTTACCTTTCTAATATATGCCACTGTGCTTATCTTTTTTACTAAATATAGGGTGAAGACAAGAAGGTACCTGAAAAGATTCTTCATGCCCCTGTGTCACCTTCATCTGCACCTGACCATATGAAGTGCAACATCCTCAAAGCTCAAGTGGAAGCTGCTTTTAGAGTAGGTGCCCAGGTAATCTGTGTTTAATACTTCGCCTTTTTATTTTTGTCATAGCTTTCACCAATTTTCCAGAATCACATTGTTCCTGAGGAAGTACCTTATTTTCTCTCAAGAGGAACTGACATAGTTTTCTCTAACTGCTCTGCAGTTTCTACAGGTAACTCAAACTGATTGATGTGATGGAAGCAGAAATCATGTCATTTGACATGATTAATACAGCTGAGGGAGGCTGAGAAAATAGGAAAGATGGCCTCAGGAAGTCCCCATGTTTTGATTTTGTCACTGTAGGTTTTATTTACTTTGCAACTGAGAAACAGTAACCCCTGGAGTTTTCTGAGCCTACCTACCATTCATGGAAACTGTGGTTAAGAGTGTTCTAATAATAATATCTATACATCCAGATTCAACCTTTATTTCAGGGGATTAACTTTAGATATCTGAATGTGAAATGTTAGCTAGTACATTGTGTTTTTACTTATTTGTGTGCTTTTAACAAAATTTTAAGCTTTCATTTTCCCTGCTTTGTTACTGTTAACGCTGGATACATCCTGTTTCAAAAACACTATGAGTCTTTTAATGATGCCGTGCAACTGAAAACAGATGCTAAATGGCATGACTGTAAAAAATTAATTTTCCAATCAGGGGTAAATCTATGTGAAACCTAAAATGTGTGATTCTTTTCAAGTGCGATTTGTGGATGAAAGATAATGCTATTGGTGCCAAAAATAAAGCTGAATACAATGTTTTAGGAAAAATAGTAGAGGCAGAAAATTTGTTATAACTCTTCGCCTAAGTTCCTGTGGTATCTTTGAGCATACTGTTCTTGTTGAATACAAATTATGTTGGTGTTTCCATTGCTTTGTTTCTTTTCACAATAACATGCCAGGTCAACTTGCCCTGCAAAGGACTTTGTTAACAATCACTTTTGTGTATTTGTTGTTCCCTGGCAGATCTGTCATCTGAGAGCTAGATTACATCTGGTCTAGCTAGACCTAAGGAAGTATCAAAATTTGGTTATTCTGACTGCCCTAGATTTCAAGAACAGAAACCATAAATCTGGCAGCATGAGGGGGAAGGAGTTGTTTGAGTATTTTTCTTTTAGTTTTTGCTTAAAGCTGTTCTCTCACCTCTGAATTCTGTGTTATATCAACTGTGTTTTGTACAGCATATTTCTTGTTTGATTGCCCTTGGGTTTACCCTCTGTTTTGCCTGTGTGTCTTTTCTACAGTATGTCACGGTATATTTCTCATGTTTGTATTTTCTCCTGAATATGCTTAATGGTCATGTTTCACTGGATAGTTAAAGACTGGAAGCAGTGTGTGCTGCTGCATTCAGAATACAACATTATTAAGGCAAGATAGAAAATGTGCTTAATGTATGCATCTCTCAATTGACCTACCCTGCCTTAATTTTTCACTCTGAGGCTTTCCAAGGGAAAACATTGCAGGTTGGTTTTTCTGCCATAGCTGTATTCTTTAGCTGCTGCTATGCTGTAAATAAGTTTCAGAGCAAACTGAGCATTCCTCTTTTCCCTCTTACTTGTGTTGTTTTGCACAAGGCTTTAGCAGTCAGATTGGATTAAGTAGCTGTCTGTAGACTTGACCTCAATGAGAAAAGTCTTATTATTTCAGGGAAAGGAGAGGAAAGAAGACTGTTGCAGGATAGTATATATTGTGGAAAAATAATGGCATACATTTTGAAATCCCTGAAGCTTTCAGTGCTAACAAAGTATGGGTTAAGAGTTATAGCCAGTAAATTAGGATGTACCTTAATCTTAGAAATCTCCATTCAACTACCTGCTTACCCACAAAATTACCTCTGTAACTAGAGATGAGTTTTTCTGCACTTGAGCTCCCCTCCTGTCAAGTATGAAAGACTACCCTTCTCAGATACATTGCAAAAATAAGCAGGCAGAGACCAGGCAATGTTCAGCTGTTACAGTAAGGAGCTGTGGCTACACGAGCACTGAGAAGAGTAGGAAAAATGTTCATGGTGAAGGAATGAGTAGAAACACACCATCTATCATCTAGCAAATGGGATGAGGGAAGGGGGCTACTGGAGGACTCAGGAAACCACTGTATCAGATACCATAAAACCACCCAGTTATCTTCTCTACCTGCCCCTATCCCCCCCAGACAACTAACTGAATACTGGTAGCTAAGCCAGTGGCAGTTCAGTCATCTTCTGGGAAAAGTGAGCTGAGATGGAATTACACTGTTCAGAGACACAGAATCCTTTTGAGGGAGCAGATAAGGAATAGGTTTCTTCATGAAAGGCAACCATTTAACTCCATATATTCCCTCAGGGCAGTGATCCTCCCCTTCTTCGACCCCATCTGACATATCCTGCTGCTCAGTATATCTGGAGGACTAATGATGTTATCCTCTGACCGATTTCATCTTTTGATGCCAGTTCCATATTAAGTCCCTGAGAAATCTTGCCTTCTGGCCTTATGCTTAACACTGCAATTTCTCATCTCTTGTTTTTTGTATTGTCATATTTCAATTTGCAAGGCAGCCAGGGCAATCTACGCTCTGTAAGGCACAACCTATATTCCTTAAGCTGAAAAGAAAGGCAGTCTGATTTTCCTTATGTGCAGCATAGTTATTCCTATATTTCATGATAGCACAGAAAAAAAAAAAAGAAAAAAGAGGATTCACTCCTCTACTTTGTAAAATGAAGAAGAAGGAACCAGGCTCTGTCTTATGCATATGGTATTTGAAAGGAAATATTCTTTTAAGGACTCCAAAAATCTATGGTCTTGCTCATCCTTTTTGAAACTCCAGGGGGTGTTTTTACTATATGGTTAAATGTAAAAGTATGAGAAAAATATTGGTGCACTGTAGAATCATATCTACAAACTGTTGCTTGAAATATTTGTAACAGCTCTCTCTCCAAGCAGTAGGAATATTTTCAATACCATATGCTACTAACATCAGGATGTGACAAGTTTATGAAGGCTCCTCCTGCATGTAGTAGAAGAAGCTGTTCCTTGTTAATTCTGAGAATGGAGTAAATGTTTACAAATGGAAGATACAAACTGGGACAGAAATTTTTTGTCATTTTCTTTTTTCTGTGGCAGCTAGACACAACACAAGAGAGAGCCTTAGAAATTAATGATTTTAGTGCTTAGGATTTAAAAATAAAAACAGGGGAAATGATGCTGTACATTTGAAAATATATTCTGGAATATGATCTCTGTGCTGCGTCATTTCAGAATTATGCTGGAGGGCTGTTTATCACATTCCTAGGGGGCAATACATCTCCCTTAGTTATGGCCCTAACTTAGAGTCTGAAAATTTGTAAGGTTACGGTGCTGATCACTTAGCCCTGCTTGTGGTTTAGAGTTACAGAGCAGCAGGAAACTAACATGAGTGAGGGTTTTTTTTATTTGGTGAAGATGAGAATATTTATGTGTCATTCAGCTAAATGGAGAATCAAACTGCAGTGTGTGTGGCGATGCTGGAACCTGAATCTAGGAACTCACTGCCATGGACACCACAGGTGACAAACATGAGGAACCCACACGCAGCTGTGGGAACCTGCGGTTTGCACAGGGCATGCCATACAGTTATCTATAGGTCTAGAGCAAACAAGTAGTGTTTCACAACACACCTTTCAAACTGTGCCACAGGGATCTGCCACCTTCTAGCTGACAGACTGCATGTCACAGTTCCCATATAATTAAGCTCCAGGGGAGCCCTAAACACTGTGAAGCAGCTGACATATCTTTTTCTTTTTTTTTTTTTTTTTTTGCATTTATTCCAGGCTCTTCATTTGAGAGGGAGTGGTATAAGGCAGCAGTAAGGAGCTGCCAGAATACAAAAGACCAGCTCTCCCTGGCATTTAAAACCCCTTTGCAGCTTGCATGAGTCAGTGCTGATATGCTGTGATTGAGCAGACACGACTTGTTAGTATCACAAAGAGTCCCTTTTGCCAAACAGTTCATGGCCCAACTGATGGAGGAAAGATATTAGCAGGTTTCAGTTGCTATTTATATCCTCTCTGGCTTCAGACAAATCCTAATTATCCTTAAAATTAAGCACAGGCTCCTGAACAAATGCACAGCTATCTCAGCAGGGCTTTTTATTTTGGCAAGCAGTGTGTGCTGTTTTCTAGTAGTCTGTCTTGTACAAGTGGTGTTTGTATTCTCCACCTGTTACCTAGCCTTTCCTAAATCCTTCGGTTGATGTACGTCTTGCTGGTTAGCAAAGAGAAGGATCCTGTTTCTCATAGATTTTTACTGCAGCTGATTTTTGCATCACTCTCATCTTTCCCTTTTCTGCAGACGAGGGAAGGCCAAGCTCATTGTGAAGGTACATTTTTTCAATGCAGCTTATGGAAGACAAATAGATGTGACATTACTACCGAGCTGTTCCTCACTGGACATTATGGGTTGTTTGCTGAGAAAAAAACGGTGGGAATAGGTGGAGATGCAGAGTTCTTCACAAAGACCATACAAAATCCCATTTGCTTCTCCTTTATCAACCCAGATGGAAACTGTTGGCTGGTGAGAGGTATCTGCTATCAGCTGGGTTTGGGTTCTCAGCAGTTGTTTCCCTCACCTTGATTCTCAGTAAACTGATCCTCATTTACACTGAACAGAGACCTTCAGTCCTCTAACCCCTTTCACACACTAACTATCTTGAGAAGCTTATACACATGTAAATTTTTAGGCCAGGTCGATAGTCATCTCTCTTTTTTCCTCCCTGTCCTAGAAATAAGTGCAGGCTGAATATAATGCCATTTTGCTTCAAGTACTGCAAATATGTGAGTAAGTGCAGGTTGCTTGTGCTGTCTAGAGTTGCCTTGAGGAAAGGACTGGACTGTGGCACAGAAAGTATCTCAGGACACGCAGGGTACATGTGTCATCCTGCAGCCTGTGCTCTCCAGGTAGACGCAAGCCATGGCTGCAAATGTAAATGAGACTTGGATCTATGCATTATTGATGGTAGAAAAGGTGCACAAGTGAGGTGATTCACAGTGCTAGTCTGTCTGTAGCTACATTTTTG